GTGTCAGTACAGGCAGATGGTAATTGTCATATCCCAAATCCCGTTATCTTTTCAACCAGAGTGCCACTGGGTTGGAGTGCTGGGACGAGTCCCTGGGACCCTGGGAAGGGGGTCAGCTCCTGTTTCCAGGGGCACGGGATTTGGTCAAGGTCTCAGGCTGGTTGCTGAGACCCCAACAGCCACTTACAGCAATATTTAGTAGTTGGGGCATAGATATTATGCTTATTAATTCTAGACCAATACTGATTTTTGGGGGGGGAGTCACACACAGCGATGCACAGGAGTTACTCCTGGTTCATGCACTCAGGAATTACTCCTGGTTCATGCACTCAGGAATTACTCCTGTTATTCAGGAATTACTCCTGGAATAACAAAAGTCGAGCACCTGATTTTTAAAATCAGGTTCTTAATTTTTGAAATCAGGTACTGATTTTTGAAATTAGGGTTAAATCAGATTAAAAATGGGAAAACACTTATACAAAGAAATCTATAATTTTCTACTATGAGAAACTAAAGAAGAAACAATAAAGCATTACTCAGGAATTGCTCAGGGTGACCATATGGGATGCTGGGAATTGAACCCGGGTTGGCCGAGTGAAAGGCAAATGCTACTGTGCTACTGCTCCAGCCTTCAATACTGATTTATTGATAATATTGTTTTGATCGTGCATGAGGCCAGTGATGTTCAATGGAAGTCCTTGCCATAGCAATTTATTAAGAGACACTAAATGCATCCAGATAGAAAAACATTAATAATCACTGTTTACAGATGATATAATACAGTATTTTAAAAATGCTACAGACTTTAAATATTTCTCCTAGAAACAATAAAATTGTACAATAAAGAGGCAGGCTACAAAATCAACATGTAAAAGCCACGGCACTTCTGTATGGATAATAAAACAGAAAAGAGAATTTTTTTTGAAATTTCATTCAAAAGTTTGTTTCAAAAGTCGAGCACCTGATTTTTGAAATCAGGTACTGATTTTTGAAATTAGTGTTAAATCAGATTAAAAATGGGAAAACACTTACACAAAGAAATCTAAACTTTTCTACTATAAGAATTAAAGAAGAAACAATAAAGCATACCCCATACCCAAAACACTATATAGGCTTAATGTAGTTCCTATTAAAAATACTCATTATGGGGCTAAAGAAACAGCACAACAGTAGGGTACTTGTCTTGCATGTGGTCATATTAATAGTGATCTACTATAGTAATAATAATTAAGCAAAAGAAAAATCAAAATATTAGAAGGTAGTAGGGATGACTCAGGGATTACTGAATGGCAGAGCATCTATTCTGCAGGTGTGAGGCTCTGTGTTCAATACTCCTTGGAATTGCAAAGTCTGAATCTGCAGTACTTCCTGTTAGGTCCCTTGCACCTAGACAGTGTAGGACACTATCTCCAGTGCACTGAAACCATATTTGTGAGCACTGCCATAAATGCACAACCTTAGTAAGAATTGTAGTCATAGTGATTTTGAGAACCACAATGAAAAATCTATTTGAACCTTAGTGAGCACTGTAAATAAATGTGTGCAAGCACCTTAACAGAATTTGTGATCTCAATTCATGACAAACACAACAACAAAGGGAAGGAAGGGAAGTGGGAAAAAAATATAAAAAGGAATTTGGGTAACATTAAAACATTCTGCAAGATGAAAAATCAAACTAGAGTTTCAAGTTATAATAAGAATCCAAACATGTGATGTTGAATCCATTAGAAGTTGTGAAGAATAAAACAGACCTTAAAATGCTCTCTCAACACTTTTCAAAACTTTTAATTAAATGACAAAGTGAATTTAATAGATGTGGAAACAAATAACAAAAATAGGGCTCCCATGTGATCCAATATTGCATATTTTAGCATATAGTCCCCACCCTTTTGCCAAATACAAAGATAGTAATTTAAAAAAACTATGTGCACACTTATGGTTAGAGTTGAACTTAGTATAATAGTTGGGACAAAGACACAATTCAAATATGACACAGATCAATAAATAAAGAAGTTATTATGTACTGCTATTTATTTTAAGAAAAGATAAAATCTTCCAGTTTACTGCATCTTGGATGAAATAAGAGGGTGTCAACTTTAGAAAAATGAGTGAGATGGAAAAGGGAAAATGCTGATGATCTCACTCATCTGGAATAGGTAGGAATATAAAACATGGTAATGGATGACTAAATTTGGTCGTAGAATACAAACTGAGACGACTAAAGGACGATTTTGACTAGAAATAATAATATGTCATTGATGGAGAGTCTTGGGAACTTGGGCAGTCTTGAGGTCTAGTAATTGTGTACATCAAGGTCATATACATTAATATTACAGTCAACATGTTACCTAAACTATAATAACTAAAAGAATAACTTTTTAAATGGAGAGTGCAAAATATAGAACCTTAGTATTGCTGCTGGAGTGATAGTCGACAACTGAAACAAAGAGAAAATACCAATAACTTATTAGAGTAATAGATTTTATAAGAAAAATATAATAACACATAGATATAAAAAGAAATAAAACATAGCCAAAGATATACATAGAAAAAACTCATCAAATTATTATCACGTATACTGTCACTAAACAAAAAACAGTAAGAAAAATAGTATCAGATCCAGCCAGAACGATAGATAGCATAACGGGTAGGGTGTTTGCCTTGCACGCAGCCAACCCAGGTTTGATTCCTTTGCCCCTCTCGGAGAGCGCGGCAAGCTACCGAAAGTATCTCGCCCACACAGCTAAGCTTGGCTAGCTACCCATATCGTATACGACGTGCCAAACACAGTAACAACAAGTCTCACAATGGAGACGTTACTGGGCCTGCTCAAGCAAATCGATGAACAACGGAAGGACAGTGCTACAGTGCTACAGTATCAGATCCAGTTGAAAATAGTGTTTAGCAGGAATTATTGGTAATTTTAATTGGAACATAGAAAGTATTATCTTACGCATTGTAAACATGCCTCAATATCAAAAACTATAACTATATGAGGAAAAATTTTGATTAGTTACACTAATAAGGTATGATTAAAATATTTTATTAAAGACTCCATAATTTTACAGTCGTCATTTATATGTTGGCAAATTTGTTCATTATTTGGTACCACCTGGTGGACAAGATTTGGAGTTAACTATCTGAGCAAGGAACAGTTACTAATTTCATTAAGTCTGCATTCCACATGTGCAAAAGATCATTTACAATTAAATAATGAACATTGCTATAATTTTATAATTTTACATATATCTTTATTTCAATATTCACATAGATTTATTTTTTAAAAGATAATTTAGTCACTGCTGGAGAGATAGCACAGGGGGTAGGCCATTTGCCTTGCAAGCAGCCAACCCAGGTTCAATTCCCAGCATCCCATATGGTCCCCCGAGCACCGCCAGGAGAAATTCCTGATTGCAGAGCCAGGAGTAACCCCTGTGAATTACCGGGTGTGACCCAAAAAGCAAAAAGCAAAAAAAAATGTTAGTCAAGTTTAAGAATAAATAGACTTGTTATTTAAGGAATTAAATATAAAAATATAAAATAATTTTACCAGTACAATTAACGTATGCGGTTTTATAGATATCTTTTTTATGATCATATAAAGACATGAACTTATGCTGGATAAAAGTGTGACCTAAGAGAAAGTGATCTTTCAAGAAAGATCAGAAGAACAATTTTTCTTTTGAGAATGCCATGTAACATAAGGACAGAATTCCAAGTATGTTTAAGAGAAGCGTGAGAGAACTATAAGATCTTATAATTTTCTATTAATTATACGCACTGTAGCACTGCACTGTAGCATTGCCCTCCTGTTGTTCATTGATTTGCTCAAGCGGGCCCAGTAACATCTCCATTGTGAGACTCATTGTTACTGTGTTTGGCATATTGAATATGTCACAGGTAGCTTGCCAGGCTGTGTCATGCAGGTGAGATGCTCTAGGTAGCTTGCTGGGGTCTCCGGGAGGGGTGGAGGTATTGACCCCGGCTCAGCCGGGCCAGCTGCTGGCAAGGCAAACACCCTACCATTGTGCTATTCAAAAAACTAAGTATAAAACTTAGTAACTGGCTGTGATCAATTAATTGTAAACACCAATGCACTTGGACCAGTCAGACATGTAATGCGATTTGAAGATGACCACTGGACTAGAGCCGTTACTGACTGGATTCCACGGACGTCAAAAGAACAGCTGGTGGCCCACCTATGATATGGTTGGACTTCGTTCAGACCCTGAACAAACGATTTGATGCTCTTTGTGTTCCTGCAGTGAGCAGACGTCATTGGGCTACACTAGCACATGACAGGGTCAAATGGAGACATTACTGGTGCCCGCTCAAGCAAATCGATGAACAACGGGATGATAAGTGATTACAAGTGATAAGATTTGGTGTGCTCATAGAGTCAAGTCAAGATGACTTTCTAAATCTTTTAAGATAACTTACTATTCTCACATCTTTTGTATGCTAATCAATTCCAAATTAATTAAAAGTCACCTAAATATGTAAGTATGCCAAAGAGATATAGTACACAAAGTAAGATGCTGCTGCCACTCCAGATCAAATTGCTGGCACATGTACCTGAACCAATACACCATCAGGGGTCACTACTATAAGGTGGGGTCCAATTCTCTCTCCAAATTTTAAATAAATCCTTATTATTTTCAAGTATATTTGCATATTCATTATATTTTTAAGCTTCAATGGAAATTTAAGATATTTATATTTACCTGCTTTATAACTAATGTATGCTAATTTACACAGACTTTTCAAAATAACTTTCAATATAAAGCCCTCTATTCAAATAGGGGGGAAAATCATTTTCTGATATATCAGGGGGAATTTTAGATATTTCTTATATCTGTCACATTGTTTTGCTTAAATTTGCTAATACCAGTGTTCAATCACTATCAATATAAAAATATAGTAAGGGAATATGTAAAAGTGACCTTGGCATAGACTGTAATTTCAACAAGTTGTAATACATTTTATAAAAACCTACACTACTATTTTAAAGTAGTAAAGATATACCTCTTTACTGTATCCTTCAGGGCTTGTTTCACTTGCTTATTTCTTAGCGTATAAATGAAAGGATTTAAAACAGGTGCAACTGAAGTGATGATGACTGCAACTCCTTTGTTTAAAGCAACCCTTTCCTCTGCAGAAGGTTTAATATACATAAAAATACAGCTGCCATAAGACAGAGAGACAACTATCAGATGGGATGAACACGTAGAAAAAGCCTTCTTTCGCTGCTGTGTTGAGGGTATCTTCAGAATTGTTCTCATAATATTTAAATAAGAAGACATTATAAGTGACAAAGTAAACAGGAGTGTGAAAATAGCTAAAATAAAACTTAACAATTCAATGACCCTTGTGTCTGTACAGGAGAGTTTCAGGACAGGAGAGTAGTCACAAAAGAAGTGGTCAATAGCATTGCCATCACAGAATTCCAACTCCAAACCCATAATAAGTCCAGGAGAGATTGTTAACAAACCAGCCAACCAAGAGGTAGCAACCAGTTGTGTGCACACTCTGTTATTCATAATGTTTATATAATGAAGGGGTTTGCAGATGGCTACATAGCGGTCATAGGACATGGCTGCCAGCAGGAAAAACTCTGATTCGCCCAAGAATATGGTGAAGAATAATTGTGTCACACAATCATTATAAGTAATTGTTTTATCCATAGTCATTAAGCTGTACAGGAATCTTGGGATGCAGACAGAAGTCAATGATATTTCTAGTGTGGAAAAATTCCGAAGGAAGAAATACATCGGAGTTTTGAGATGCAAATCCAGCAAGGTGAGCAGAATAATGATTAGGTTTCCAGTAACACTCAATAAATATGTTATAAGAAGAAAAGCGAAAATGACAATTTGCCAATTTGGGTCATCTGTCAGTCCTAGAAGAATGAATGTTGTCACCATAGTATGATTTGCCATGATGAAATTCCTTTTAGTAGTACTAGACCTGAGGGCAAAAGTAAATAATAAAACTCATTTTAGAAATCATTTCACATGAGTTTAGGTATAAAAGTACTATAAGAAGCCAAGTAATTCAATGAAAATATGTATTTTATTCTTATAATTTTAATAATTATATCTTGCTATCAATACCTCAGATTTAATATCACCTCCTTTTTGGTATTCTTATTTTCTTGGTTATCTTTTCGACTTTACAGATGAATGACTATTATCATCTTCTATTACAATATATGGATATTTCACTGGTTTAATGCTTTGTCCAAATTACTGGATCTTACTGTAATTTTACTGAATCTCTAAGAAATCCTTTTCTAATGTTAGTTTAATTTGCATCTCTATTGCCGAAATTGTCTTCTGCCTGGTATTTTTTAGTAAGATATATCTTTTCTGCATCCTTCACTTATACACAACTAATCAGGACTAAATTTAATTAATATTGTTTTAAATAATGATATATCTCTTGTTATCTTTAGGTTTTTCGTACTACAATTAGAATTCTTTGATATTATTAAAAACGTTTTATTTTTATAGTAATTGAAGCAACATGGTTATGAATGTGTTGACATTTATGCTTTGGGGTAGTGCACCTCCATCACCAAAGTGCCTCCACCACTATCTTTATGTCCTCCTAGTCCATGTCATCTTCCTTCATTAAATCCCCTCCTGCAAAGGTTGGTAATCTCTGATCCAATTCAAAGTTCAAGAGTTTGTTATCAATAAATAGTATTCATAGTATGAATTTCACAATGTTACTGGGCCCACTCGAGCAAATTGATGAACAACGGGAGGACAGTGACAGTGACAGTGAGTGACATAACATAATGTTTGTCCTACCTACATTGTAACAAATGGCAAGATTTTTACTCTCAAAATGAGGGGCTGGAGTGATAGCACAGCGGGTAGGGTATTTGCCTTGCGTGTGGCCAAACGGGGTTTGATTTCCAGCATCTCATATGGTTCTGAACACTGCAAGGAGTAATTCCTGAGTGCAGGGCCAGGAGTAACCCCTGTGCATTGCAAGGTGTGACCCAAAAAGAAAAAAAAAAGAATATATAAATACTAAATTAAAATGTCATATAGAATTGAAATTATGTATGCTTTCTTTGGTATTTGTAGCCACATCTGTGTTGTTTAGGTTTTATTCCTGGTGCTATACTCAGGAATCACTCTTGAGGAGGTGGTGGGGGGGAATTGAAAGACCTTAAAATGGTGCTCAGGTTTGAACAATGTTCAGTTGAATGTAAGGTAAATCACTTACCTTCTCTGCTATCTCTTAATCCCTAAACTAAGAATTCACTAAACTAAGAATTCACTAAACTAAGAAATCCCTAAACTAAGAATTCACTAAACTCTTTAGTTTGAATATCGTATTTTTCTTATATAAGAAATATTTCACATTTAGTTCCAAGTTTTTAACAGGATATAAAGCAGTGTGAACAAATGAAAAATTTAAAAAGCCTACTAAGAATAGATTTTCATGTTATTCTCTTAGAGAAGTTCAAGCATTTCAAATAATATAGACATTGAAACTTATAACTTGAGTCACACAAACATTTTTAGAATTATTTAATTAATAATTTATAGACTGTCATATATCTAAAGTGCAATAGGTCATATAACTGTATGACCTATTGCATTTAACACGAAATGTAAATGTAATGCCTTTTACATGTAAATGCCTTTTATATGGAACAACAAGATATCAAAAGTACTTACCTTACATGAATTTCACAAAAGCTTTGTTTGGTGATACATTATGATTTCTTTTTGTGTCACAAACAAATGCATTGTTATAACTATTTTTTCAAGGAAAAATATGTTTTCTTAACTCATATATTTTCTTAGTTGCCTCACAATTAAATTAGACTGTGTTCACATTAAAACAGAGTAATAATGAATAATAAGTTCTAACATCTATGTACTGCTCCTCTATTTGTCTACCTGTGTCTCATCATTTAATGTACAGGGATGATTTCAAAAATTTTCCTGATACCCCTACAAAACAAAATAATTAATATTTAAATTTAATCCAATGAAAGCATGTCTTAGATACTTATTTAGAACCAAAATGGTTGCCTTTTTTCTTTTAAATTTTAAAAAAAATTCTGGTTTCTCACTAGAGACTTTCATTCTTGTTCAAGTGAAAATTGTACTCCAGAGTGACTGTGATTCTACATAGCCACAGATTCACTGTTTTTTTCTAATACAGAAGAATGAATTTATTCACCACTGGTACAGGGTTCTGGGGACTCTTGGGGAAGATAAAATAATTGATCAATTCCACATTAACTCTGAAAACAAAATAACAAAGTAATTAAAAATCTAGTTATAACACCCCTAGGGAAACAAGAATGTTGACAGGAGAATAAAGTTTAGTTTCTGTAATGAGCTCAAACCAAATTTTAGGCTCTTGAAGACGTCAGTTATTTATTGGTGGGGGAAGGGGAGCACAGGTGGCAATGCTCATGTCCTACTGATGACTCTATGCTCACAGATTATTCCTAGAGGGGTGTCTTAGCTGCTGAATGATGTCCCCAGTTCCAGAGTATTAGAGTATGAATTGGACCAGAGTGAAGACAATTGGAGATGCTCACCAATTTATATACGCATATATATTTGATAAAATGTAATTATTTCTTATATTTTTGCACAAACTTCTAGTTTCTTAGCTTTGGTATAAAAATATGTAATTACAATAGAAAATGTTAGTATATTAAAGTACATTAATATAATGACCAGGGAAACAGTGACTTTTCAGATGACAGTTTATTATAGAAGTAGAAATAAGTAAAAATTCCTTCGAGAAAATTCCATCTTTAATTTTATCAATGTGCCCTTACACCACAAAGATCATTTAAACTTTCATTAATCAGAAAGTTTATTTACAGTTGCATTAAAAAAACTAAAAAGTGAATGAATTGGCATCATCAATTAAATAAAACAATTTGAACTGGCAAGAGAAGCTGGAGACATTTTTTGTGCAAAAAGGAATATCAGTAACTTATTATGATAAGTTCATATATGATATGTGTTTTCCTTGTTTGATTTAGAGGTCAGACACAAAAGTACTCTGGTTTCACATTTAGTGACATGCTGATAGTCACTCTCCAGAGGTCCTAAGGTACCACGGGGGGGGGCGGGGGGGGGGGGGAAATGGAGATCACACCTGTTGGGTAACATTGCTTTGTCCTTCAAGAAGCTTAGGTTTTATCTGGTTACACCCATTAATCTGGTTACACCCATCAATCTGGTTACGCCCATCACAGTGCTCCAGAGGCACTTCCACTTCCATTGTGTTTACATGTAAACATGTAAACAGTCTTCCCTATGCTCTCCTTCCCACCCAGTTAATCAGCTTTCTCCTTAATCAGACTTTGTTAATTTGTAAGATCAGTTTCCCAGAAATCTATGATTTTATATGTATGAGTGAAATATTGCCTTTCTCCTCTCCTTATGCCTTATGAATAGTTTACCTTAAGGTAATATCCTTTTTGTATAGATACAGGAAGACCGTTAACATTATGCTTTGTAACTTAGGATTTGATTGGCCTTGAATATTATTCACTCCCAGGCATCATCTTTCTCGACTTAAGCCTCAGTTGCCCTTAGTTCCTAACACCCCAAAAGCAGGGTCCCGACGAGGGACTGAATGGACCCAGGGCAAACAGTGAGCTACCCTGGCAGAGAAATGGGCCAGGCCAAGTGCCACGATTCTTAACTATAAGTTAAGAGTTTGATCATGGACAAATGCTGTCATGATCCAAGGTAACGACAAGACTAGGATCCTGCTAGGGGTGGGAAAGACTATCTGGCCTGAGCACCGTAGTCTGAGATCAAGATGGCCCTAGGAGAGCAATTCTATAAGCTTAAGATATTTCTTACTGTAGCCATACAAAATGATTTATATTATATTTTTATATGCTTGTCGGACAAGGAGAGGAGAGGCACGCCCATGGGATTCTGCTCTAGGGTGGGTCCTCCTGCTGAGGAAGGATCTGTCCTAGGAGCGGTCTTCCCTGAGGCTAAGATTTCTACCCCTGTTGATCTCTACCCCTATTGATTGTGACCGCACCTATGTGTAATTGTTTCCCCAATTCCTCATGGAGAGAGGATTTAACTAGACTGTAGGAGTGGGCTAGGGGCAGAAGAAGAGAGTTCAGAGAGGATCAGAGGGAGAGGAGGATGAAGGGGGATGGAGAAGGAGAATGAAGTAGCATGGGGGCAGAGATAGAAGAAGAGATGAGGAGAGAATCAGAATAAACTATGACTAATACCTACCAGCCTGGCCCTCGTTCCTTCCTCTGCCTGACCATCGCCATCGACCTCACCGGGGTGGGAGAAGGGTGAGACTACCGAACGCGGGCGGCGGGAGAGACAGAGCCACCGCCGCTGTGTGGGTGCCGAGCCCCCCACTTTGTGTGAGTTTACACAACACCTAGTGTTCCTGCATGAATGTCATGAGCTCCAACGCTTTGGGACAACTCCCTTACATACTATGCTATGTACTTTCTTTGTTAATTAATTGTGCTTTAGAAAATATATGAATTAAAGTAAAAACCAATTTTTAAAACCTTTTTTTTGCATGTTTGTTTATTTTGGAGTCTCACCTTGTTATGCTTGGGGATTTCTCCAAGCTCTGCCCTCAGAGATTCTTCCTGGTAGTGCTCAGGGGACAACATGTAGTGTCAGGTATCCAATTCACTTTAGTGTTGCCCAGTTAAGGCAAAACCCTTACCAACTATGCTATTTCCCCAGCCTGTTAACACTCTTTATGTATCAAATATATTCTCTTTCCATGGATTCTGCAAAAAGCAGTTAAGGAGAAAATGTTTGGTTGGGGTTTTGTAAGAGAACATGTGGCAAATGATGTTTTTTCCTAATGATACTTGAAGATCAATCAAATGAGAAAAGCAATGACAAATGAACTGAGAGCCTTTTTGGCAACAAACTAGCAAGTT